TTTACGGCCCCCGTGAGTCATAGCTTTTTACCCATTTTCGTTGCCCCCTCTCGTTCTTTGTAATCAGAACGAGCGTGGAAATGGAGAGAATGGCCAAAAGAGAGTTAAACAAGTTACCTGCAGAGGTGGGGCAGGGAAATGGGGATCGCGGGCTGATTGCGTGACAGTTGTGTGGGTAAGCGGCTTAGCAGGCTGTCCCAGACTCAAAAGGTCCGATGAGTTTCGAGATGGAAAACCCCTTATACCACGGTCCATAACTTGTGATCAGCTACCGAAATGAATAATGATTTAATAGGGCAGAGCCAAGGGAAATTAAATTGAAATCACGGGAATCGCAATTAATTGTCATCAACAAATGCCACCCAGAAGGTCTAATTCGGTTTAAATTGAGAGCTAGAAAAGCTCTAATATTTTTATTGAAAACTAGCCGTCTTGAGTTTCCATAAAATTAACACATTTGCTTGGCATCTTTAACGAGGCATAAATCAACGATCGATAAACACTTTGTTGCAACTAATGGGTTAAGATAAAGTGGATTTTAAAAAGCGTTAAGTGAAGCTAGGAAGCAGTACCTATAAAAAGTTAGTGTATCTCGTAGATAGAAAATTTGCAATCCCTGGGAAAATATTATTTTCTCTGATAAGATTATTAATGATGGATTCTATAACATTATTAAGATGCAAGTTATGACAACTTTAATCCCCCATCGGGAAACATGATTAACAACCCTTTTCATATGTACATACTTCCTGTTATAAAATCGGCTCGGAACGCAAATATATAAAACCCATTAAATTAAGAGTACCAAAGGTAGACGAACTTATGAGTAGACGACCCATTTTCCTGTTCCTTTCTTCACTTTTCTGGACATGAATTTGAAAATCTAATGACGACAAGTCTTCAGATCCTGTACCGCAAAACCGAGAGAAAACTCTTCGATCAAAGTGAAACGGAAGAGAGGTTGGAAAATCAAAACGCAAAAGGCAACAAACAACAACAAACCTCAAGACCTACTTCAACCGAGAAAAAGAGAGAACGAGATGGCAGAAGAAGAAGTAGGACAAAAGTAGAAAACAAAGACGATCGAAAACAGGATGCGCGCATGCGCAGTAGAAACAAACCGAAATGGAACGAAACTAAAGGTGAACATCATTATCATCGAAACTAAGAAAAAAAAACAAAGAAGAAAAAAAAGCGAAATCAAAGAAACATAAAAGGAAACGATTCTCAGGGGAAGTGCAAACAGACACAAAAGATGAAGCAGAACGCGATAAGGCGGCCCAAAAAGGAAATAGGGGGAACGAGAATAAGGGAGTAAAGATACCGAAAGGAGGGGACAAATGGGAATGGCAAACGATAAACGTCATCGGCCAGATTATGCTGCATAAATTATCAAATGCAAAAAGACACTACACTACCAAAAGGGAGCGCCGCTCAAAAGTGGGAAGGGATCCAAAAGCGAAGAGAGTCAGACATTGCGCGCTGTAAATAATTGTAATTTACGTGTAGAAGGGTACTGACTCTACCCTCACGTTTACTATTATGGTTAAAATATTAGTAGCAGTCATGATTTTGTAATTTGCTAGGACTAATTTAAAAAAAATTATTTATTCCCTTTATAGATTAAATAAGCTTATTTTCAAAGGATCCTTTTCAAAATTGTTTACCAAAACAAGAAGTATATTGGTACACATCTTCAGATTGGTGACCGCGGTCATTTCCTATGGTTTTCTGATATCAAAACCTTTGGTGTAACTCCCAGCAATCTATTTTTTTCTCGTAAATAAAAGTCTAAATTTTTTGTATTCTTGAACAACTGGTGGAAGGCAACTGCTATTCTATTAAGTCGACAATAATTATGTAGTGCACTTGGCCTTCAAAGTACTATTATTTTCACCTGAACTGTAGGTTCTGCCTACCTGAGCCGCCGCGGCAAAGGTAAAGAGCACCTGGAGGATGAGGGAAAGAAAAGAGGGAGGGAAAACAGGAGGCAAGAGCAAAGCCAGAACAGCACGTACAAGAAATTAGCAAACACAGAACCAGCTAACGAAGGAGAGCAAAAGAGAGTCCAGAAGTCGTAAAGAAGTAAAAGCGAAACGACTACGAAACGGATTATGATGTTCCCAACCTGATCATGATGATGATGAATGGATTGGTCTACGATACGACACATATAGACGGCGGGAGAATAGAAGAAAACCGTGGGGAGGGAACTAGCCTGCGGGGGCAGTTGGACAAATGGAGTTACTAAAAAAAAGAAAAAAAAAACACACCAACACACACATGACAAGAACATGAACATGGACCACGCGTAACGCGTTCTCTTTCACTCATCACCTTCCTTCTCTTTCTTTTTCTGTAATCGTGGCCGGAATCGTAAAACGTGATCGAGGGCTTTATGTGTACAATACGTTTCGCCATGGGTCTGTTTTTGTTGTTATTTTTGTGGTGTTCTTGTTTTTCAGTTGCCTTGTTCTTGTTGTTGGCACTTTTCAATGCCCTATAAAAAACCAGGCTTGTGATTCATTGGTAAGGTTCCTGGAACTATCTAAATAACCCTGAGTAATACAACTAAATTAAATCACATTTTATTATCTAATCCGCTTTAATCTTTAAAGTTTTCATATCACATTAAGCCTTAAAATCCAATTATAGTGACTATGCTATCCGAAAATGTATCTCCATAAACAGTAATTTTTAAGATACTTTAGAAAACAGTATCTTAGGGATTTACGACCTTGAAATCAATAGCAACAAAAAATGTACTTCATTTATATGATTCAAAATATCAATTTGTTATTTTTACTTCTTAAATTTATTACGTATCGAATATTCCTATAAAGAGCATCTACTTTGTGTCTGTGGCGCCCCTCTAAAAAACTAATTTTACTTTCTCAGGTCACTGAATTCTGAACCTTTTTTAGTTTCTGTTTTACTTCTTAACTTTTTGCTCTTGCTTTGATTTTTTTGTATTTGTTCAACTTAGATGTTGTGTGGATCTTGTATCTTAATGTATGATTATTTTGTTTTCTACTCCCTCATGCCGACAACTTTTTATTAGAGCCGAATAAAACAAGCGAAATCAAAGAACAACAAGGGTTCTTTTTTGAGTTGTTTTTGTTATTTTAGCTGCTTTCAGCTTGTAATCTCAATTTTCGGCTTTAGCTCTTCAGATTGTTTCGAACTCCCTTTACTTTTCCTGTCTTCAGTAATTTATCTTCGGTAATTTACAAGTCTGGGCAGCAAAATTTACATCCGACATTGATTTGTTGTTGTTTTTGTTACAACTGTTGTTGAACCATTGGTGTTGTAAAAACGTTGTTGTTGTTGTCTTTTGGATGGGCTTGGCTACACATGCTGAAGTTGTGGGTCAATGAATCAGCGTGTGGATGCCGCAACAGCTGTGCGAACTTTTGACAGATCATTTTGGGGAAGTTGGCAAAGTAAGAGAAATGGGAGTGGATATAGCAAAGATGTTCAAGGTAATGTATGACCTCAGAGAATATTGAAACATAATCACTTATAAATGGAATGTGGGAGAGGTTTAATGATCCGATAGTCCCAGCTACAGATCATTCTTCGTGAATGGAAAATATCTTATTTAGCTTGATAAATAATCATAAATGTATAAACCATTTTCAAAATTCTTTTAATGTTTCTTTGTTAGATGCTTCTTTATTAGATATTATAAGCAATGGTTTACTGATCTAAGATTGAGAATCTTTTAAAGATATATCTTAAAAGATTGTAGTTATATTTCTATTAGTTTGATAAGCTACTTATACGTGTTAATCATGCCTCAAGTAAAAATACTGAAATACTGAATACTGAAATAAAATAAATTTATATAGTCATCTTATTGTCCAATCAAATTTTCTTTTTAAAGAATTTAGAAGTAAGACAAATCAAAGAATAGTTTTCCTGCTTTTAAATCTACATAACTTGATAACGTTAAGTCTTTTCAGTTGATAGTCATGTTAAGAAAAGCACTCAATGTAACAACAAAAGTTTATTTGTTCTTTCTTTTATAATCATCGCTCTATTTGAGAAAATATCTTAGGATTTCTTATCAACCAAAACAAAAACCAATTCCGTGAATTGTTTATTTTGTGGTTGTTTAGTATTTTTTCTTTCTTTTTTTCTAATCCCTTAGGAATTAAGATAAGAGTTTCTCACGAAAAAATTTTATTTACTCCCAATTTTTAAAAAAGCGCTTGAAGTGGCACCTGCCACCTCATAAATCGAATTTGCATAAATGCTAAGTCTCCATAATCAGCACAATAATCTAAAATAATGCCAATTATTATTAACGAGCCACTGTAAATGGCTGATGTCCCGCCCACTCGCACACCTTCTTAACCAACTCCCACGTCGCTTTCGGCAAAAGAGCAAAGGCGACAAAACCCGAAGAATTAAACAGTAATCGCTCCACTGTTGGTACTAGAACATGGAATTTAAAGAGATTGATTTCACCAAAAAAATGTACCTAATCTATCGTAATTCTAACCATTAATTTTCATCGCTTAAAAATGTATATATTGACAATCGTAAAATTATAATTAACGAGTGCTCCCTGTACAGCAAAAGCAATTAGCAGAGATGAGAAATTCAAGAAACGATCGCGAACAATTACGTGAATAATTTACAGCTGAGATACGAGCTACTAAAGCTGCCAACGCATTGTGGGATCAGGTAGATCGTACAGAACCGGTTAAGAGAGGGTGTTTTTGTGTTTTTTTAAACGAAAGGTGGATTCTACACGGTAATAACACAATATTCTAAAGTCCATTCATTAGTTCTGAATTTCTTTTTTGGATTGATTTATTATTGAAACTTAATATTGGTCATATCTATCTCCAAGTTTGGTAACTTCTGTAATTTTAAAAATCAGAAAAAAAAGATTTGTCACATATTTTCTGCAAACGTTCAATAAAAACAGAAAAGATGCCCTTTGTTGGTGATATTTTTTCACTGTGTAGAAAAAGAAAAGAGGTACTTACCGCTTTTGAGACGATCGTTAATTAGATCCTCGATCAGCTGCGGACACTCGCACTCGATGGCGTAGCAGAACTGCTTGAACTTCTCGAATCCGTTCTTGGCAATGATCTCGATGAGATTAGAGCACTGGAGTCTTAGGATTTCGGCGTCGTTTAGTCCAGAACATAGTCCCCCGCCAGAGGGCGTTAGTGAGCGGCTGTCGCAATTGGCGTCGCCGTTTACACTGGCGCATCGAGAGGATCCACTGCCTCCGCTACCTGCACTGCCCCCACTTGCCGTACTACCGCTACTGGCAACGGCACTTAGTTTTCTCTTGGTGAGCGAGGGTGCACTGCCAGGAGGCTCCACTGTGGCAGAGGCGGCGGCCGAAGGCGTGGGCGTTACGGCATTATACGGCTTTAACAGCAGATCCTCTTCCGATTGACTGAGAACCGAGTTTTTGACCAGTACCGCCAGCAGATCGGTACTGCCCAGATCCAGCATTATGCGCTCCTGGTGACGGGAGAGCAAAGAGCGCACCTCTTCCTCTTCCTCGCGCGTCATCTTGGCTTCTTCCGTTGTTAACTGTTATTTCTTACTGTTATTTATTGCACTTTACTGATACACAAACAAATCACATTGCCAATTTTCCAGCATTTTCGTATGAGATTTACGGGATTTTTACTTGATTTTGTTTTGTATTTATTCACTTTATTTAATTGTTATAAAAGGATTTTTTATAATTGGATTATTTGATTAATATTGATATTTAAATAGTATTACTGTTGTTTACTTGTTATATAAGTTATGGTGTATTTTTGCTTTTGAGGTTCACTCTATATGTGCTTGTTATATTTTACCAAACAAATTGGCTTTGTTTTTTTCTTCGATATAATTTAATTTGTTACTTTTGTTTTCCTTCAATTTTCAGAATCAGATGCCTTGTTTTTTATATTACTTTTTGTGTGAGACATTCGATTTATTCTTTTTTATACTGAAAACACTTAAAACGCGCGCCATTTGTTTTCGTATGTTCGTTTTTTCTACGCCGCTTAGCCGTTCGCACAAAAATCGTAAATTCGATTGGTGGTCAAAAATATTATATATTTTCGAGATCAAATATTTATATTTTTACCGGGTTTTTATCTTATTCGTAATATTGTTGATATTTTAAAAACACATAACAAACTCGCCGGCTTTCAACACCGCGCGTTCGGTTCGGCGCTTGAAAAAAAATTACCGAGTGGATAAAGTTGCGAGTTGCTTATATAGATTTTAAGTCGCCGACTCAAACATTTTCTCCCCTATTCGCTCTCTCTCAAAGTAGTCTCAATGTACCCTGTTATCAAAGGGTATGCTGAGTACGTGCTAGCATTGGTAGCAGGTAGGGGTGGTAGTAGCTAATGTATGTTCAAAACATTGATAGATATTGCTCAAAATTGTATAGTAATAAAAAATTATGAATAAACAATCATTAAGAAATCATATCTATCACTTATACGCAATGTTGCCTAAATATTTTACAACTAATTATAATTTTAATTATATAATAATTAATAAAATTAAAAAATATAATTATATGTAAATGTTTAATTTTCATCCTGATGTTAAAGATTTTATGCAAATTTTAACTCATACGTTTCGTATTAGTAATTTTTTTTGAAAATGTATAAATTTAAAATTCAATTTTTTTTTTAAATAAAAAATACTTTCATTCGCCATAATGTACTTTTACTTTTCCCAGGATTTCAATATTATTTATATCATAGAAAAAGGTAAGTTTAAAAATGATGGTAAGGGTTCATTTGGCCTAATGCTTAAAATCCAAATATTTTTCAGCTGACATTACCATTGTCACTTCCAATTTTTTTTAAAACATTTATTTAACTTGGTATCCCTTAGTCCAGTATATAACCATTTCCGATTTGAGTGAATTTGAGCGCGACATGAACGAGAGAGTAAGGGAAAACCGGTCTACGGTGAGAGCAAGATTGGCTGAGAGGAGAGAGCGAGAAAGTTGTAATTGCTTTTGATTGTTGATGCATTTTCAATGCAGCTGCAATGAGTGGCTATGAATGTGTTAGTGTGAAACAAAATCAAACAAGATAATTTTGTTTACTTTGCACTCTCTGTGTTTTTCTCTCTCATTGTAACTTGGTTTGACTTTTCCAAAACAATTGCGTTTGTTTTTGACTTTGACTTTGGCCAAATATCACGTAAAAAAACGTAAATGGCAAATACAATTTTATTTATTTCAAATGTTAACGTCAAACGTTAACTGATACTAAAACCAAAATATAAAAATCTAACTTGTATAAATTTTGAGTTTTGAATGATGGACAAAATTTATGTTTTATATATTTATTATTCTTACAAAATAAACATTGGCTTTGGGGTGTCGTTAATCAAGACAGCTTCGAATTACCATATCGTGTGGGCATAAATGAGGACTCTCTCGGGGTTCAAAAACCGGAATCGGAAGCAGTCTTACGGTCCTCGACACCTAGCCTTGATTAATTGCCAACCGGCCACACACTCAGCCACATGCTTAGCCGTTTATCTCTAGTGCTTTGCCATTTTACAATCTGTTGGCCAACTTGTAACCGGTCATCACAAAGGAGCAAGCCAGACACTGATCAAAAATCCAACTAATTTTAACGATTTTCTAGGCCGAAAATTATATGTAGAATGATTTTTTTTTGTTTTTAATTTAAGGATTTAAAAGATTTTAAATAATTTCTAAAGTAACCTATACTTAAATGGGGTTTAAATATAGAATTAAATGTAGAACTATTTAATTTTGGTTTTCTTCGATTTGTTTTCCCTCTGTGTAACACAACATACAAACAATTACAGAAAGGCTCTAATTACGTGTGTTTGAATTGCGGCGCCCTGATTATGGCCCTTTTGCAGGCCAATCGATGACTGCAGCGGAATAATAATAACAGATGTTAAGCCAGACCCTGGAAACGGATAAGGATAATTAAGGCAAATTAGTGACGGAGCTGCCGAACGGTGATCAGATTCCAATGGGGTGTTGTTCTGGTCGACCAAATGGTCTGCAATCTGTGAATTCCAGTTCAGCATTCCGGGCATTTTCCGCCTGTCAGCAGATTAACAGGTGTTCCCGCCCCCAAGTGAGGCAATCGCGAAATTGTGCGCATAAATTGATTACAATAATTTGCCTATCCCCCAACTTTAGGCCGCCCTCTGCGAAATAACCTCGCTGCTGGTAAATATTTTAAACTAGCAGAAAGAATAACAACAAGTTGCTCGGTCGGCTTCCATAATTTATGCAAAAATGCAGTCGAACCCAATGAAAAGTGTCGCTCACAATTCAATGCGGTAAATTGCATTTTGCGATTTTAAATGCACTCCCACTGCTTTAATGCTTAACTTGTCAATCAAAAAGGGTCTAAGATCGTGGAGTATAAACAGGAAACTTAGATCGATTAAATTATAATATTCTAGCTCTAAACCAAAAGAAAATAATAATAATAATAATATTTAAATAGAGTCTCGAATCTTCTGTGCATTCCCATATAAGAAGCCTTGTACCCAAACCATTTAAGTAAATAATTTAAAGTCCCTTAAGTTAAATTTATATTTTCTCACGAAAATGTAATTTAGCTTATATTTTTATATCACCAGGTGAAGCATAATTTAAGACAAGAATAACCTAAAATAATTAAAAAAACCAGAGATCTATGTGTTAATGGTAACATTCGAGTGACCACTGTAGTTCTTAGGTGGGTGTAGAGAAAAAAGAGTTCATTTGAGCGAGTGTTTGCGGAGGGCCTGGAATGCAAATTACTATTATTACCAGACAATTGCTTTGTACTGCGAGTGCATTCAAAATATTTGAAACACCACCAGAAAGGAAAAGTTGAATAGCACAACAATCTGGCTGATTTCACCCCACTCTAACTTTCAGCAAATAGAAGATGTGGAAGGGACGAGTTTTATCAATCGTACCACATTTCCTTGTCCAGTGTTCCTATTTTGTATTGCTTGTCACGTCTCTACAGCTTCCTCTGCAATTAAGTTAGGGTGGGGAACAAAATACAGTCAAACGTCTATAAGTAAATACTTGTGTAAGTTAAAGTTTTGGTGTTTCAGGAATGATACAGTCACGTTATTGAAATATTTTTGACTTCTAGAAATATTCTTTATAAATTATCCCATTAACGCATCCAAAAGTAATATAAATACTTTATACTTTGAGGCATTTATAATATAAAATAGTAGTTCTACACTGTCTAGGTAGCGGTTCGTAGATAGAGAAGTTGGACTGTAAAAAGTTGCTGAAATCAAGAGGCTTTAGGCCTCTTCCCGTTTGTCTGTCGTTCTTCCGGGGGTGCAGAAATCAGCTCAAGCTCTAAAGTAAGTCGGCCCTTGAGTCATCCATCAATCCCTGGACTTACCCTCAGACGAAGTTCTTCCATTACTTCTCCAGCAGCTTCAGGTGCACTTGTTCGATAATCATCTTGGGGAATTGCCACGAAGCCAACTCCATTTGCCGATTAGCAGACCCACCGCACGTGGTATCGCTCGGCGGCACCATTTGAATTATTGTGGAATTTTTATTATTTCGTAATTACTTATCAAGCTCTGCAAAGCAACTGGCGTGCTGTTTTCTAATCTGGAACAAGAGAAAGGCTATTAAACTGAATGTCCAGCTGGAACACAGTGCAAACTGCTTTGAGTAATGGTCGTCAAATGGTTCTGCAGGTGGTAATTCCATTTAATTGTTTTTAGCGGCTTTGTAACCTGCTTTAAATGTGTGTGCAATGATGATCAAATAAGCACATTGTGAAACTCAATTAATGACTGATTTAAATACAGAACAAATGTTAATACAACAATCGTTTAAGATGAAGATTACACTTTTATTATCTATAGTTACACTGATTCGAATTAAATGGTTAAAGAGGAAAGAAAATCAACTGCATTTATTACTTGAAAGTTTGACAGATTTGGACTACTTCTTATAAATGATGTTTTGCCAATCACTATTTTTTTAGAATTATTATGCTTTTATCGTTTTGTGGCCATTTTAATGCCTTAATTAATTTGCTTACAAATGTTTATCTAAATTTTTGCAATTGTTTTTGTGAACCACCCTAATAATTCAGTCCAATCTCTACCGATAGTAAAACATAATCTCCGCCAACTGGTGACCGTTACTCCTTTTCCACCTGCTCATTCGCCTTCCAGTACGAATAGACCCGTAAGTCTCCAAATCGAGAGGCTATATGCTCTCGAAACGGATGAATGGAGATGAAAGAGAGGAGATGGCAAGGGATCCAGAAAGACTGGATCACTTTCGTCTGAGCGATGGCCGCAGTCAGAAGTGAATTCCCCAGCGAACCGTACAGTAATACCAACAACAATACCTCCACCAAAACCGATTGCCTGAGGTCCGTGAAAAAACGAGTGACCACGTGTTTGAAGCAGTTGTGCGAAAAACTCCAGGCACCCGGATCTTTTCGCAAGAGTTCCTCCAGCCGATTCTACAAGATATTCGTGAAGGCCGATTATTCCGGATTTGGGGAGAAATCGAAATTTGTGCGCCAATTTCAGAAGATCTTCAAGTCGGCGCGAAAACCCGAGTCGCCGGAGTTGTGGAAAGTGCCATTGGCCCATGACGTCACTGGGCAGAACAGCCAGCAGTTGCAAATCGTAGCCAGACTTTTCTCATCCACTCTGGTTTCCACCGAGGAGATCACCTATCACACCAACATCAACAGCTACAAGAGCCGGAAAAGTCAGAGCTACGACTGCGACATGACCATTATCGAGAGCAACTATATAGCTGTGCGCGAGGAGTATCCCGATATCGACACCGAGGTTCGCGCCATATTGCTCAGCCACGCCCAGAATGGAATCACGATATCGAACATCAAAAGTGAGTAATATTATTTATTTTGTATAATTTTCTTGAGATAAGATAAGATTTATTTGAGCTATACTAACTTGTGGTGACCAGCAACCCTGAAAAAGTCTATGAATTGTTGCTCTAGTCTTTTCACTGGAAATTGACTTTTAGAGAATATATTTTGTATAAAAATAATAAAACCTTGGCTTTAACTTTAAAATTTCTAAAATGTTAAAACACGTGGTTTGAAAAGGTCCTACCAAAATATCCCAAAATATTGATGAATAATGTAATGTCGTAATATGTACATATGTACCTATGTATACAATTTTTTAATCATTAATTCTCATAAAATAAATTGTATTTTAGGTGAATATCGAAAACAGACGGGCATTCAGTTTCCACTGCACGACAACGTGACGGACTTCCTGTTGACCATTCCGAATGTGACCGCCGAGTGCAGCGAGTCCGGCAAGCGGATCTTCAACCTGAAGCCAAATGCGAAGAACCGCCACTTGCTGGACATGGTCCTCAACCAGAAGCAGCGCACCAGCGACTACAGCAGTGGAACTCCTTCCGTGGAGGACAATCCTCGTCCGCCACCACGCTACTGGAAGTTCCCCTACAAACGTCGAGCTATTTCCCAGCTGGACAACAACCTGAACACCAGGCCGAAACTGGAGGATCACCAGTTCAAGGCGATAACCACCAAGACGACTCCACTGCACCAATTGGCCAAGGAGGCAGCGGAGTCGAACTGGTGCTATCAGGACAATTGGAAACATCTGTAAGTGGATCTCGACTTGTAGGAAAAAACCATAAATACTCTTGGTCTTTAGTTTTTCCACTCTTTTTCTTTACATAATCTCAAAAAAAAAATAATTAAATTCCTTTTTCTTTTTTGTCGGAAAAAATAATGATTTTGGTTAACTTTTACTTTTTAAAGTTACGGAAAAACATATAAGTAAAATTTCAGATTGAGGCACATTTTAAAGAAGCAGCCATTCTATTCTTTCTTTTTCAATAGTGTAACCCATAACATTTCTGATTAAAAAGTATATTTTTAACAAGTTCTAGACATCCTTATATGATTTGTTGATAAGTAATTTTATTCGTAACACTTTTTGTTACAACCCTGAATCTATAGCAACAACTTCTACCAGCAATCCAGCGCAAATGAACCGCAGAGGCCGGTGCCCATCAACATCTACAGCGATCCTCCGGAGGAGCGGACTCAGTTCGCAGTTCCCGAGCTTCCACCACACTGCAGGAACCCCAACCAGAATACCAAACAGAACGTAAACCAGCATTTGGGAATCTTTGTGAACCCATTCAACGATATGAATGTACTGAAGAAACGCCATGATATGACCCCCACACCCACGACATTATCCAGTGGAATCTACAGCGATTCGATACTGACGATCAGTTCGGATTACGATGCCTACCTACTGGACTTTCCACTCATGGGCGATGACTTTATGCTATATCTCGCCCGTATGGAGCTCAAATGCCGATTCAAGCGCCACGAGCGGGTCCTTCAGTCAGGACTCTGCGTCTCCGGACAAACGATCAATGGCGCCCGGAAGCGGTTGAAGAAAGTCCATCTGACCGAAGGCACCCAAATCATCGTGAACATTGGATCGGTGGATATATTGTGCGGGAGGCCGTTGGTTCAGATCGAACACGATTTCCGCCTGCTGATCAAGGAGATGCACAGCCAGCGACTTGTGCCGATCCTCACAAATCTGGCACCGCTGGCCAACTACTGCCACGATAAGATCCTTTGCGACAAGGTCCATCGGTTCAACAAATTCATCCGCAGCGAGGGAAGTCACCTGAAATACATCGACATTCACTCCTGCCTGATCAACGAAAGGGGCATTGTGCGATTTGATTGTTTCCAGAGGTGAGACAGTGCTTTAAAACATATAAAAAGATTTGTCAACATTTAAAAAAATTTATTGATATATTTATTATATTTATATTTCCATTTTGGTGGCTAATAATTTAATATCTACTTTTTCAGCTCACCCCGTCAAGTCACTGGCTCCAAGGAGCCATATCTGTTCTGGAACAAAATCGGGCGGCAGCGCGTGCTGCAAGTTATTGAATCGAGTCTGGAGTACTAGGTTGGGTTCCTAGTCCAGATATATACTGACTGGGCTGGCACCAGAACCAACCATGAAGATTTTTGATGATGTTTTTACAATTTATCCACGCTGATTGATCGCTGTTTTTACGGAATTCGCTTAATTTTAATGTGTTTTATATGTATGTCCCCTGTCTTTGTTAATATATATATATGTGTTTGTGTACTTGTGTTAGTCCCTTATTGTAAAAAATTATGTGTTTTGTGTTACTCTCCTAGATTTTAAATTATTTCTTTTCCACTGCCTGTAATATGTATTGTATATTCCATTGAACTTCTGCACACTTTTTGCTGCTATCCCAAAAGCTGTGTAAAAATTCAAATACGAAATAATTGCAGGCAGTTGGAAACTTTTCTCAAAACTTTTTCACTTTTTCCAAACCATTTTCCCTTGAAATCTGCATGATAAATCAGATTGCAAAGCAAAATGGAATTTAAATGCAATCATTGCAAATGTTATAAACTGTTTTTTGTTCTACGTTTTTTGTTGGCCAAAATGCTTCATGCTCCTATATAACAACCTGCCACTCCCCCTTCCAAAAAAAGGGCGGAGTGGGACGTGGTCTGTATACATTTGAGCCATGCTGCATATTGGCTATAATGAAAATGCACTTGCTCCACTTAAAAAATTCGCTTGCACAGAATCAACGCCGCGGCTGATTTATTATTAATGTGCTCAAGCAAATTCAAGTGAAACATTTGCGCGATTTTCGTCTTCCTGTTTCCGTTGAAAAAGTTTATAAAAAGCTTACACTCTGCTGCAGACACGCCACCGGAAGTGCGCACTAAGCGTGTTTCAGCTGCACAGTGTAGAATTACAGTGTAATTTACTGCTCTCCTCTAAACTCTTCTAGATAGCTATCTACTATTTATAAACTTATTTATTGTCTTGAATGTATGTTAATTGTATGTTTCGATGGTGATCACGTTTTTTTTGTCCTATAACAAGAAGCAATGTAAAATCCAAAAAAAAATGAAAAAATAAATAAAACAAGGGAAAATATAAGTTTTTTGTCCAACAAGAAATAATTCAGAGTGCTGGCTAAAAATGAAGGGAGTGATTTTCGTTTTTAGAGTTATGTGAAACAAAAACGATGTTTATTTTTTAGACATATTTAACATTTTTAAATATTTTTAGATCGCAGACTTTTAACAATAGATGTGAACAAAACATATACTAAGATTTGTTAAAGGTACAGATTGTGCCACATATTTTTGAACCTTTTAACTTAAAATAACAAAGAGATGAAAAGATTTTATTTAAACTTAAAGATGCCAGAACTAATATATTATAACAATTTCAAAAACAAATAAAACATTTCTTACAGTGTTATAGTAGCGGAGACTTACTCCGAAGGTAGCGAGTACAGACACCATTAAAATCAAATCTCGTTTAAGATGGAAGAACATCGATTATGCCCGGCCAAACATCGATATTGCATATATTTTGAAAACATCGATGACAGCGATATCAATTATGGCATCGATGTTTCTCCACCACTAGTAGGCAACGGCAAAAAAAGTAAAAAGTAAGCAGCAGCTTTTAACGTCAAAATTTCATTTCGAACTCACTAGACCTACGTTTTCAATCGATTCCAGAACAAAATGGCTTCATTCTTGGCACGAACGGGCGGTCCCCTACTGGAAACCGTTAGGCCAGCAGCCGTTAAAAAGGTAAGTTCATCAATTAAAGGTCATATTTTTGTAAAAAATGCAAAAATCAGACGCTTTACATAATAAGGCGAAAAGAGAGCGGTGCGCTCGGGCTCTCCTTCTCTCTTACTCACACATGGTGAATGCACGATAGGATAGGTGTGTGCGGGGGTGTCGATCGCTAATCGCTAAAAACTGTTCTACTTAAGTGTTAATTACATTTTAAATTCCCTTTAATTTGTTAAACAAATAATTTTTAAGTGAGAGAGCTTAAGGTTTATAAATTTTAGATTTAAAGAGAGTCACGATCGCTCAAAGACACCTGACTTTTTATATTGTATCAGTGTGACGCAACTCTGCGGTTTTGCATTTGTGTGTGTGAGGGGACCTTGAAAGCCTTATTTATTCCCCTGTTTAATTTTTTTTTATCAATGGCCATATGACAACTGTTGCTTTCTTGTTTTTGTTGTTGTTTTAGTTGCCGGGCCCTCTAATTAAATTCTTAATCTGTGAATTAGTTTTGGTTATCGCCGGGAAACGCCGTTATCCGCCAGACTTGCTCTTAACCCAGATTTCTTCTCTTTTGCTCATTTTGTTTATGTTTTTCGTATGAATCAGCGAACCAGTTTTTAGTATAATTTTTTGCTTGACAATGACCTCGTGACTGGAATTAAGATTTCATTGCCAGTACATAATCATTTTGGCATTTGAATATCATGATATATTTCTTTTTTTATTTTCTTGGTTTTTAAAATAATATATTTTCTAAAATCACAAACTTTTGTTAGTTAGTGGACTTGCCCTTATACAGAAACAAACAATGTTAGTTATTCCATAACTCTTATCTACGGTTAATTAAAAAATAATTTAAACCACATCTTATCTATCCAAATATAGTGATAAATATTTTCACTTACCAATACTAACCTTTAGATTTCCTATTCTCCAGATTCTCGGCCTGGCTCCCATCGCCGTTCAGCAGTTGAGGAATCTCAATGTCCAGGAGCATGTTTCCTACAGTCTCCTCAACGAGAGCAAAATCCCAACACCTCGGTGAGTAAGCCCAAACCAACCGGAATTATCAAAATCGCAAGGAAACAACCACAATCAGCCACAAAGTTGCGGTCCAAAGTTCAATGAAAGTGCCGCGTTGTCGTTGCGTCGACGGTTTCTTCGGTTTATTTTCGTTTCGGACTTTGGCTGAACTTAATAATTTGCATTAATTAGCTGGGGTAAACAAACCATAGAAGCGCAGCCACCGATGATAAGGGTGATAACAAGTTATACACACTTTGATCGGCGTAAAGTGACAAGGGTCAGTGACGTTGGCTTTGATAAGATGTTAAAGCGGAGAGATTACCAATATGGCAATAGTTTTAAAATCATAGTGACTTCTAAGAAATGGCAAATTTAAAACAATTTCTGTTAAATACAAATCGGATTCGATTATTTAAAATCAAGTTATTTCAATCGAAAATGTAGTGATTCCTAATATTTTACAATTTGCAATAGTTTTCGAGCAACATACTTAATCTATTAAACGCAAAGCAAAAACATGCGATTATTTTGTCTCGAGGTATGCTTTTCATCTCCCGAATGACCGAATAACCTTGTCTCGGGTTCCAGCCTTCGTAACTTACGATTTTGACGCTTACTGATAAGAGAATTTACGTAAAATGTTCTTATCAATAAAAATTTAATTCAAAACGGGCATCGTAAAGAGAATACCCAGAAATGTTTACCATACTAAATGACTCATTTCTTTTGCAGTTTCGCTGTTGCCAAGAACGGAAAGGAGGCTAACGACATTGCCACCAAGTTGAAGACGGACAATCTGGTGCTGAAGGCTCAGGTCCTGGCCGGAGGACGAGGCAAAGGAACCTTCAAGAATGGCCTGAAGGGAGGCGTTCGCGTGGTCTACGAGTGAGTTATTATCTATGATTAATTTTGGCGAAATATTCATCAAACCTAATATAAAATTGTAGCCCCCAAACTGCTGAGGAGATTTCCTCCAAGATGATTGATCAGCTTCTGGTCACCAAGCAAACTGGTGCAGCTGGTCGCATCTGCAAGAAGGTGATGGTGGCCGAAAGGAAGTTCCCCCGCCGTGAGTTCTATTTCGCCGTGATGATGGAGCGTGCCTTCAACGTAAGTCCAAAAATACCTCAAATAAGATAATTAACACCAAAAACATTCAACTATTTAAATAAATCCCACTTTTAGGGTCCCGTCCTAATTGCGTCCAAGGAGGGTGGTGTTGACATTGAGGAGGTGGCTGCCAGCAGTCCCGATGCCATTCTGTACGAACCCATCGACATTGGCACAGGTTTGACCTGTGAGCAGGCCCAGAAGATCATAAAGAAAGTTGGTCTGGGCGGTGAAGGTGAGGACACCCACGTCCAAATGCTGATGAACCTGTACGATCTGTTCGTGAAGAAGGATGCTCTCTTGGTTGAGATCAACCCCTATGCCGAGGATGCCATGACTGGCTGTAAGTTTTGGGTTTTCCTTCTCTTAGTGTTTTAATGTGTGTCTACTTCTAATATCTCATCTCATCTTTCCTAACAAATTAACCCATTTGTGAATGTCACTGGATTTCATGTTTTCTGCCCAGGCTGTAAGTATATGTCATCAACTAACAACGAGTGCATATAGCTTAGAAATATGATTGGTGCAGGGTTTATGTTCAATAATACTATTTTAATTATCAAACTGATTAAAACTAAACATATAATCCTTAAACAGCCATCGTACTTCGCTAAATAATCCATATCAATAAGTTCACCTTAACCTATTATTAAAACATTTAAAATGCGTTTTTGTAGACTTCGCATTGGACGCCAAGCTGCGTTTCGACGACAACGCTGAGTTCCGTCAGAAGGAGCTGTTCGCTCTGCGTGATTGGACCCAGGAGGATCCCAAGGAGGTTGAGGCTGCCAAATACAATCTGAACTATATTGCCCTGGATGGCACCATCGGCTGCATGGTGAATGGCGCCGGCCTGGCCATGGCCACCATGGACATCATTAAGCTGTACGGCGGCGAACCAGCCAACTTCCTGGACGTGGGTGGTGGTGCCACCGCCGAGGCTGTCAAGGCCGCCTTCAAGATCATCACCTCCGACCCGAAGGTGCTCTGCATTCTGGTTAACATTTTCGGCGGCATCATGCGTTGCGACGTCATTGCCGAGGGTATCATTTCTGCCACCAAGGACCTGAATCTGAACATGCCCGTGGTTGTGCGTCTCCAGGTGAGCGTTATGAACTTTTGGGATATGCAAAAATAATTATTGCGGATTATTTTACTATGCCAACAAGTCTGGATTTGCTATGTTTAACCGACCAACCCTAACAACAAAATCGATTATTTTTGCAGGGCACCAAAGTCAAGGAAGCCCGCGAACTGATTCGCACATCTGGACTGAAGATTCTAGCCCGCGACGATTTGGACAAGGCTGCCGATTTGGCCGTGCACTTGGCGCAAATCGTCAAGCTGGCCCGCGAAATGAAGATGGACGTGAACTTCGAGATTCCCGATGCCCAAAAGTAGATAACTCCATCAGATACTGGCTAAGTCAACCAACATAAGCACACGCAGACACAAATGAAAGTCGACAACAAAAGTAGAACCAAAACCTTACATTTACTCTAGCCACGCAAACTACTCAATGAAAAACTATGCCATCGGTTCTTAGTTAGAGCATTATGTATGTATTCGTAACAATCGGTCGAACAATTGATGGATTAATTTTGCAAAAATGTTAAGTTTAAAACTGTTGAGAGTCCTAAGATATGTCATATAGATAATTCGAATAATTCAGCAATTTGAGTGTTCTCTTTGCACCTAAACAATTTCTATATTGTATCTAAAATAGTCAACATTAATTGCACGTGAATAATAGAAAAATGGAACAGAAACTACGTTTTAATTGTGATTTTTGCAAAAATTCATTTAATTTTTATTTATTGAATTGGGATACTGCTTCAAAAGCAGTTCCATCTTGTGTATTATGCTATTTAGTTTGCTTTAAATTAAAACACAAACAACAATCTAAACATGCTTACTACTTTATTTAGATTCACTTTAAAAACAAACACAAATTTTTTGGTTAAAAATAAGTGCCAAATTTAATTTAATCACTGCACCTTAGCGGAAAGGGCGGCAAAGGAGATTGCAAGAAAGACTGTAAGAAAGCGGAAAAGAAAGATGATAAGAAAGGGGATAAGAAGGATGACAAGAAATCCGATTGCACGAAGAAAGAGCCAAAGAAAAAAGAGGAAAAGAAAGACATTTGCAAAAAGAATGAATCATCTGACAAGAAGGGAAAAAAGTGATAGAGAGGAAACAAGAAGGATCCGCTCGGATTTCTATGCATTTTACACCAATAACCGGAAGGAGCCATTGTTAAAATTCCAAGTCCTTTAATGAACTTACCGCAAAGATAACGCAGCTAAAGTATTTGTAAAAATTTTACCGCAACAAATTTCCTAAAATTTTTTTTATAAGTTTTCAGTTTTAATAGTTCTGTTTTTATTGTATGGTGAGCCTTAGAAACGATCGACTAGAGATAATATGTGGGTCTGCTCCTGTTCCCGCCAGTCAGTGTCGCCATCGCCCAGATTGCCAGCGTATTCTGTGTATAGAATTGGGAATTGTAAAGTGGGTTTTAAATAGAGATATTGCAGTATTGGATTACCTCTCATGATGCTGCGAATGGTCTTCATGGAGGCGCCGCGCAAGTTGAGGATCTGCAAAACGCGCTGCTTGACGGTATCGCCGGTGGCACTGACCTCCAGCAGGATGTAGTCGATGCGCTGCAATGTGAACAGTCCTCCGGTCAGCCGTTTAATGTAGTTGTTCTCCGCCTCCTCGTCCTCGTCAATGCTGGGATCCTGTGGGTAATAGGTTTGAATTGTTGGAAATTAATATATAATAATATATGTATAATTAGGACATTTATTTGCAATATTAGCCAAATTATACTTAAAATACGACGCACAAATAAATTAATAATTTATTCCAGGTTAATTAGGTAAAATTTATTTTTGGTCAATTTTTGACATTTTTTATAAGGGGTAAGATTATCATTTTTGCGAAAAATGGCCGAAAAAAAAATTTTTTTGCTGAGAATGCAGATTGATTTGAAACTTTGTAACGAATTCAACGAGGTATGGCATTCCAAAGATCTCACCATTATTTTCAAGGGTTTTAATAAAAATTGATTTATACATTTGAAAAAAATGTACATATGTATATGTACTTAGGATATATAATATATTAGATATCTAGACAAATATGCTGAAGGCAATAGCTTTCTTACATTGTTAATTTCTACTTGCCTTAGTCTGTTGATCGATCTCTTTGTCTATAGCCTCCACCTTGGCTAGATACTTGAGATGCAGCTCCAGCAGCCGATCTACCTTCTCGTGATCGTTCTCGGTGAACTTGGCCAACATTCGCTGGCGATGCGTGCCCTTGCAGTTTCCGCAGCATGGAAGCAATGACGGAGGTCACATGCTCCTCATGCTCATCGGCGGAGATCAGTCGCTGCTTGTTGCGCTTGGGTGTTTTCATGAAGAGCGGAAAGATGGTGCGCAGGCCGAGGATCTCGACAAACTTGTTGCAATTGTCCCTTCCATCCTGTCCGGCCATGGCATGATCCAGCACCTTAAGGGAACCATTTCGGGACATTTTCTTCTCTCTGAGCATCAGGTTCATTAGCTGGAGACCTTCACCGCTGAGGAATCGATCGCGATTCTCACGAGCCATTAAAGCTGAGCAGAGGCAATTGAATAGATTCTGCATATACTCCTGCTCCTCGTTGCTCCCGGGATCGTGTCTTTTGTAGACAGCCAGCTGCTGGAGGAGCACATCCACTCCATCCAGAGAACCCAGCATCAATCGGTTGTCATTCTCCGTTTGTATGAGGATGGAAAGGATCTCGCTGCAGTAGAGTTTGTTGGGATCGAAGGGGGACTTTCCACGCAGGCGTTTCAGCAGCCAGGCCAGTAATCCCTGCTCAGCTGCCTCCTTGACGAACTCCGAATCGATTTCGGTGAGGTTCTCCACAATGGCCAGAGTGTTATGCACCCCATCGGCTTCCTCCTTAACCTGCTCGTTCAGTCGCTCCAGATTTTGGACCAGTAGAGCGCAGATTTGCTCTTTCCTCAGGGCTTCAATCAAGGATTCGGCGCCCTCCTGACTTTCGCCCAGGATGTCCACATCGGTTACCTCCTGCAAGAGATCCACTACGGCCACGGCTATGTCCGTGTTTTGATGGGCCAGAAGTTCCAGCAAACTGTGCAATCCATGGAGCTCCACCAGGAGGGGATATAAATCGGGCACCGTGGCCACGCCTTTCAGTTCCTGGATCACCGTGTGCATCTCCACCTCCGAGTCCATGAACTTTTCGGGACAGTCGGCGAACTTGATGCGCATCTCCTGGTTCTTGAGGTTCCTCTTCTCGAACACCAGTATCAGTTTCTTGAGGCTATGCTCGTCTAAGACATCGCCATCGGCTTCCTCGTTCTCCACGTACTTGAGGATATTCAGTCGCTCCTCCTCCGTGAGTTCTGGATCGAATTCGAAGCTAGTGGTGCCGCCGGACGCGGATGATCCTCCACCTGCACTTTGTTTTCCGTAATGTGCCGACTGCTTGGCTTCGGCGATGCGCCGCATGCGTTTGGTTTTCTCATCGCCACCGCCCCGTTTTCCATGGGAGCTCTCCAAATCGAAGTCGTCGTCCTCGTCCTCGTGCGGACGCTTTGGCGTCTGTTCCGGCTATAGATTGGGATTGATCAGATGTAGTTATATCTCAGGAATCACTATATATTTTACCTTAAACGCCAGCAGTTCGCCGATGTCCATAGTTGCCTTTAAAAAACAATATGTAAAAGTGTGACCGCGCCCAAAAATAACACAAAAATATTGTCAGAAAATGGTGGGAGACTTTGATAAACAACCCAAGCGGAGACTCAAACCGATAATTACCTATGCGATATTATTTAGACTTGGACTGGCAGTTATAAATTTTAAATTATGTTAATAATTTTGTGAAAAAGAAAAATAATTTTAAAAAAAATTTTTAATTTTTTTAAATTACAGCTGCTTAAATTTATTTTTTTAATGACAAAGTTTGAAATCTTTAAACTTTAATGTTTCGATATTTTAAACAAAAAGTAGTTAATATTTGCTTAAAACTTTTTATGCAAATTTTTTAAACTCGTCATTTCGGAATTATTTTTCTGTTTGCCCTTTATATGAGTAGAATTAGCTCATTAAATGTTTAATAATTAATGTTCAATGTTTAAATATGCTGTAAACGTTAAGATTGTTTTCTCAAATTATTCTATGTGTTAATCAAAGAATCAATACACAGTATGATGCGAAAACTACTTAAAATTATTTTTTTGAGTTTGGCCATCTTTAATGCGTTTTTATTTCTTTGAATTTGTTTTATATGTGGAATATTCCTAAACAATTATTTGTGTTAGAATTTATAATGTTAAAAAGCGTTGACGCGACTTGGATCCATAAACCATTCCTAACACGCCCACCCAGCCTCCCGAGGGGCGATTGCCTTTTTCAGCCCTGCGCCTGCGACTATGATGACGACTTTACATAAATTCCTAAAGGCCAAGCCCCGAAAATAAGTTTACAACTGCTTTAAGCTCTGGCAATTCAACAAGTTGTTTCGGTTCGTCTGTGTGTGAGTGAGTGTGTGCTGGTGTGTGTGCGCCTGTTGCCATCTCACTCGCACTGTCGGGCTTTCTTCGAGCCAGTCTTTCTTCAAGCCAGTTCGTCAGCGTGATTTGGTGTTGTTATTGCTGCCTTTGCAGTTGCCATTGGTATTGGTATTGGTATTGTTGTTGTTGCTGCTGCCACTTTTTTACTCTTTTCTGGCTTGTTTCATGTTGACCCACTTTTGGTGGCAATACGTGAGCCAACACAGTGGGCCAAAACAGCGGTGAAAGCTTTGCATTTTCAGGGATTGAAATAATAATAACAATTTTAAAAACATTTCATATGAGAACTGAGCATTATTTTAAGAAGATAAATAAACTGTTACATGGAACTTTTAATTTATTTCCATTTACTTACATTTCTCTTTTTGTTAAATATATTATTATTATTATATTATTATATTATATTATTATACAATTGGAAATTAAAAGTTATTTTATTAATGTTTTAATAAATAATCTTAGGCTAACCTTTTTAAAAAATGATTATTAGTGCTGTGTTTGCCCTTTTGACTTAGAAATCAAAAATAAAAAATTTAGTCCATTTTTTAATATCTTTGAATATTAAAATACTATTTCTAAAGGAATTGGTTGGGGTTTCTATAACCCGTTGCCCCACGGTGGCGGGCAAAAAGTCATAAACTGAATTGCCAACAGGTTATGGCGACGACCACGAAGACGACGGATGGCTGCTGATTTTGTTGCTGCTGCTCGGCTGCGGAGTAGTAAAAAGGGCCATGACAGTGACACTTTGAAGTTTGAGGTTAAATCGTCAATGTTGTTGCCTTGGTCTTGCTCTCTGCTTTGGTTGCATTGCTTTGCTTCATCTGTCTGTCGCGATATTCCCCAGCATATTTTACTTGGCTTTTTCTGCCGTTGTGGCTCCTTCGAATATTCGTATATTTTATGCTGCCTTTTGCATTGCACTGAATTCAAAAGACTTAGGCAACGAACTTGCCAAGAAATAACTTTGAACTCACGCATGCTCGCACGTTTTTATATTTTTCTTATTAATTATTTTTTTGCTTGCCCACTCACACACGAGTTCGGATTTGAAAAGTGAAATTTCAAAGTAGAACAACAAGCGGCAGCAACAACGCACGTTTAGAGGTTCCAATAAAAATGGGGTCACTTGTCGTTGGCCAGTCGGTTAGCCCCTTCCCCCTCCCCACGTCCCTCTCCTCAGAAAACCCCACTGACCATTGATCGCATAGATCACGCGCCGTCTCTTGTTGTTGTTGTTATTGCTGTTGGTGTAGTTGTTGCCGTTGTGCATTGTAAATTAATTGCAGTCGCGTCGCGTCTGTTGTGTATTTTTTTTTTGGCTTGAACCGTTCTCAACCAGTTTTAGGCCATCCATCGTGTGTGCCATTAAAATGCACCACGAACTTGACAACGAAACGAAATAAATGGTGAAATATTTCTCTTGGAGCTTAAAGACTTTCCCTGTGACTAGAAATATTTATGCACTAAGTTCTGGCGTGTGATTTTGGCTGACTGGTATTATTTATTTCTATTATTTAATATTTTAGGACTTACAAAATTTTAGCAATGAAAAATATCAGTGATAAATTATTCAAGTTATTGACTATAAATCTTAAAAACTTTTAAGGAACCAATATAAATATATTTTTTTTGTCAGCAGGAAAAGGCAAATGATTAATTTGAGCACTCTTATAAATAATTAAATGGATTTTCCCTCAAAATATACTTATATATCCGGAGTATTCTTGAATTTGATCTTGTTACAATATCTTTTTACTTTGCTGCATTCCGATTTTTTTTGTTCGTAACAATAATCAAGTTTAATTACGTATTTCATAAGATTTTCGTTGTGCACTGTTTGCTTTTGCTGCTAATTAAAGTTGGCTGCAACAAAGAAAAAACAATAATAAAACCAGAACAACACTTAAATATTAATAATTGATTATAATGCTATAACAGACATGATTTATTCTCGTTAGAATCTTGGTCAGCCGATCGTCGAGGCGTGAATAACTGCAGTGATGGTTGCAAAATCAAAAGTTGCACTTGGGCTATGGATTTAATTTTTTTAATTGCCGAAAAAGAGCGAGTGCATAAATTATGAGAATTGCGAAATTTGAGCTAAAGAAGTCCAAGTATAGGATCTTCAACCCCTCCACTTCCGGCACGCGATCCATTTCCGTTCTGCTTTGCAGCGCTTCTTCCTGCCCTCCCCCGCCCGCCCACTCTTGCATCAATCAAAGTCTCAATCAAGAGCAAAAGTAATCAAAACTAACAGCAACAATGAGGGGGGAAAAACACAAGCCAAACAAATAATCTCAAGCACACCCAAACCATGGCCGTAAACAAAAAGGGAAGAAGTCGGGGCGACAAGAGCAAATAAGGCAAAATCGTTAAAAATAACAATATATGTGTGTACAAAATGGCATGGCAGAGGCAATAGCAACAGCAACAACCCCAGTGAATGGGCCACAAAAAAAAATAAACAACAATACACACACAAAATAGAAATGGAGAGCAACTTTCACCCAAGGTCATTGTGTCTTTAACTGCGCCACAGCACAAAACAGCAAGGCAGCAGCAGCAGCAACAACACCAATAGCAACAGCAACATCAACAGCAGCAACATCGGCAATAGCAACTAGCAACTTGCAACTGCTGGACAATATGAATATGCGACGGCGACACGACACGACCGTCCGAGCAACCGACGCCCGATTTGCTATTTTGCACAAAAAACAAAGCCAGATATAAAGTATACCCTTCCCATAGTAACAACATTATCCCATGAGTCACCCAACTTGTTAATAGATACAATATGAGCTAAAAAACCATCGAAAGAAATACCATAATAATAATAACGCCTTCATGTTTTATCTCTAGATGTCTTTAATTCGTGTACACTATATATCTTAATTTTTGGTTCGTGTTAACTTCTACTATAAATCTTAAATGTATCTGAAAGTACATATAAATATTTTGTGTTCCTTATTTTGTATGCGTATAATTAATATTACGTTTATTATAATTGCTTTGGCAATGCTATTTATATTCTGGTAATTTAGGGAAAACATTTAATCACACGAATTATTTGTTAATCACAAAATAATCATATCCTCTGAAAGAGTATAGAAAGATTAGCTAGTTTCGGTTGTCTATCAAATCGGGGAGTGAATCAGCAAAGGAACTGGAGAGTTCGAGGGGAAGTACTGCATGTGCCAAAAATAAACTGAAGCAAATTGCAGTCTAAAATTCCGAAAACTGGTCTCCGCAGACAGGGAAAGGTCGAAAGGAAACTGGCTGCCCATTTACTAGACCATTCGTGTCGAATTTATAAGGATGTAATCGCATAAAGAGCTGTATTGCCTGCATTTCACATTATCCTTAATCTTTTATAAATGACTTAACATTAGCCTTTCCATTAAAATATTAAAAACTAATATGATATATTTTAGGTTAAGTTTCTCTAGTAATTTTTCTTTTTCGTTTTATTTAAATCTATTGAGCTACATAATACTTCTGTGAAGTATTTTTTTTCCTCTTCACCTTTGGCTATATTTCACTTTAATGCTGCTTAAACCAACCTAAATGCCTGCTTAGGCATCTCAATCTTGGCCACTTCAATCTTAGGATTCCCCCATCATTCATATTATCTACGCCGACACCTTGATCTGGGTCATGCTTAGCCACATTGTTAGCTGGATGCAATTAAGTGGCCGAAAACTAAAAGATGAGAGAGTGGAAAATTACTTTTAATTGACATAAACTTTAATTAAAAATGGAGAAGAAACCAGATAAAAGAAATTCGGCAGAAGTTTGTTTTTACGTTTCTAATGCATTTCAAATTACATCATTAAGTTCTCTTTTGCCAAAATTGCTAAGTTAATGACTTGAATGTAAACGCGGAGAAAAAAAGGTTATATCATTATAATTTAAAATATTATTGTGAGTTATATTAAATAAATATATAGGGAAAATAGAGAGTTATTAAGATTTAAAATAACGTGAAGTTTTATTAGAATTTATTCGTGTTTGTTTGTACAATTTTTAAGTGATTTTTATTAGAATAGGTAACTTACAAATTATATGCAACTTTCAGTTATTCAATCCATAATAATAACACTATTAATTCTTATAAAATTTAATAAACATCATTAGTTTTTATTGCTCTTTGTCTTTTTACTCCTTTCAATGATTTAAAAACTATTATTTTAACGTATTAATACAATTATATCTGCTAAATATATAAAAACCTTTTGGTGACATTTTTTTCCCAGTGCGGTTGGGTGAGTATAACAAAAGCTTAACCCATGACAGGCGACGCGTCGCAACACGTAGCACAGTTTGATTAGAACAAAACGAAGCCACAGAAAGAGCAGCAGAAACAGCGGCAACAACAGCAACAGCAGCCATGATGTTGCATAAATTTAAGTGCCACAGATACAAGGCGCAAGATACAGAAACGAGTTACAGATACATCAAGAAGCAGGCGCGCCAGCAGATGAGGTCTCTCCTCCGAGTCGGCGGCATAGAAATGCGGATGCGAACTGGAGACCCCACTTCGCATATACATCTACACATATAAAAATATATATACAGATATAGTATATATAGGTGTGCTCGTGTATCGGTGTCTACCTCCAGACGGGCGCTGCGGTGAAAGAGCAAAGTATCTTAGTATCTTAACATTTCAAATCCGCTGCGGTTCTGTGTGGAAACGAGTCTGGAAATTGGGTCAGTGGCACAGTATGCATGACATTCTCCATCTCCGTCTCCGTCTCCGTCTCTGTATCTGTATCTTTTTCTGTAGTCGTAGCCGTACTCGTATCTGTGAGGTACATATCCCCTACAACTGTGTGGGCCTCGCTTCTTCGGTCTTTCTTTGGCTCTTTCTTCTCCGCCTGGCTTTCTTTGTGGTCAATATAATGATTCTGCCCGACTGGCTGGTTCGGTTTGGTTTGGTTTGGTTTCTTGGTCGCAACTTGACTTGGCTCGCATATTTTTGTGGCTGCTACTCCATTTTATTTTTATTTCTTTTATTTTTGTAGTCGAACGTGCCTCAATGCTACGCCGTCAGGTTGCTAATGGGACCTTAAAAAGCGGGTCCACGGGGCGTGTGAGGCATATGCAATGGGGCAACACCCAAATGTCAACCACTTACCTTTAAGATTCGATCTAAAACCGAAATTTCCACCCATCACGCATACGACATGTGGTCCAGGGAAATCCCAAAAATTATAAATGTATTAAAACAACATGGGCAGTTGTAGGCTTAGTTTGTTTTGCACATTTTGAATGACATTTGAATTTATTTAAATATAATTAATTAAATATTAGGCATTACAGTTACGAAATAAATATTTACAAATCGAAATGTGTTGAACAAAATTCAAGTTTGCTTTTGTAAAAATAAATAAAATTGCACGATAACTAAAATAACACAATTAATATTGTCTTTTGTTTATAGAAATTACACATACGTTTAAATTAGAATTAAACTATTTTATGGTTTATTTAATTGTTGGTTTTTTTTCGGGTGCTGAGTGTGTCCAATGATTAAAGATAAATAATTTCGGGTATATTGAACATAATTTAAGGTTAAGATTAACGTTAAAACTTTAGCAACAAACTTTTTAAAAAACAAATTAACAACGCTTTACGATATTGGCTAAATTAAATCGAGTTTATTACTTGAGTACTTTGCTAAACGATTTTCATCATTTCCATCGATTTCGGTTTAGATTTATCTTCTTCAACGTTTCATGTTTTGCAAATTGATTATTATGAATAATATTTTGCCAAGCCCGCTACAAATTCTTACATCTAAACATTTTTAAAAATAACGCTTTTCCATTGGTTTGTACATTTTAAAAGTAATTAATTTAAAATTGTTATTGCTTTTGCTTGATTAGTGTTAATTTAAAATGTAATTTGTATGCGTCACTTTTTCAGTTTTCAACATGATGAGGTACAGACAACATTCAGAACTTTATACACCTTCCGCTCATTCCCCCTCCTTAATTGGTATTATTGTCTAGATTGTTATTAGATACGATTTACCTGTGCCAGGACCTTGGCTGCTCGAAGCCCGCGACCCTGCATCAAAACAGAACAACAGTTGCAGAATGACAATTGGACGCTTCGTTGTTCTTACATTGCTTGTGGTCTCTTTGGATTTTCGCTATTTCTGAGGCTACAAATCTGGTGTGATAAAGCTTCTCAACATTTTATTTTCTGATTGGAGGTAGTAGGTTGATGTTAATTTAACCTGTCAAAAGTGAACTAACATTTTCTTGTCTTTTAAAATCAAAAATGTTCTTAAAAAAAAAAAATTTCTAACGAAAACGGGCAAAACAAAATAAATCTAAGAGATGTTAAAAGTTTTTTAATTTTTCAGATAATCTTTTTGTTCTTGATTTTCAAGGAACTTTAAAGTTCTTCTTAAAATCTCAAAATATTTCCACTATTTAACTTTTTTCTAATCCTTTTTTTTTTACTATTTACGAATAAACGAAGAGATCAAAAGCAACCAACAACAACGAATATCAAAAAGTGTGTGTATGCCACTGCGTGACCTATTAAGCATTTTCCTATATATATAGTGGATATATAGACTGGACAATCTCCGAGTTCTGGACGATACTCAGACATTATTCTGGCCGAGCACTGGCACACACGCACACAGAGAAAACAGGGAGAATCCATCCACCAGGCAATAAAGGGTCCAATAATGGACTCAAAATTGAGGCGGGAATAATCCCTCACAGAAAAATATCAGATGATAGTTACATGACATCCAAAACTTGAACAAATCAAATAAAATATAAATCCTTGCAAAATTTAGTAATTGATTTTAAATCAAAATTTAAAGCTTCTAGTGATTTGAAAGCACTTGAAAAGCTGCCCATTTGGACATATTTTCAAGAGATTTTTAGAATTGACAATTGGTGTCATATCTTTTTAATAGATATTACACATTGATGTGATATAAATTTGAAGTTTTAATTTGTTTCTAAGTTTACAAATTTGGTGAATTCGGTAAGAATAAATTCCACTTTCCAAGAAACTAAACAGTCTTTTTTGGAAGGAAGATATTTGACAAATTCCGATTTAACCAAATTGTCTAAGGAATCCTATGTAAATGATCCTATTTTTCTGTGCTGGGAATGGAAGCCCTCCCTGTTAGATGCTACTGGTTGTTCGGCTATAACATAAAGCTCGTGGAGGAGCGTCAGTCACGCCCAATTCTCTTGTGTATCTGTTGATGTTTGAGCAGGTGCGCCTTCTGGCGAAAGGCCTTGGCGCAGACGTCGCAGCGGAAGGGTTTTTCGCCGGTGTGGGTGCGCAGATGCACCTTGATGTTGGACTTGTTGAGGAATCCCCGATTGCAGATGCTGCACCGATGGACGGGCTTCTCCTTTCCGAGCAGTCCGCTCAGATCGCTGGCGCTGAAACCGGAGGGTGAAATGGCGCTCATTTGGGGCGTGTTGGGTGCTCCCCCGCCCTCCCCCTGCTGCTGTTGTTGTTGCTGTTGCTGCTGTTGCTGCTGCTGCTGGTTGGACTTCTTCTGGGATCGGGATCTCTTGGCCTTGGGCGCCCCGGTTCGCAGCTCCGAACCCGTCGTGCTGGCCGTCGTCGTATGCGGATAGTTGCCCAGGAGATCCGGCGAACACAGGCCATTGTCCTTGAGGGAAAGGCCCGAATTCTGCATGGCATAGCCACCGTGCTGATGGGGATTCCCCGTAGCCTGATTGTTGGTCGGATTGCTCAGGTACCGCGGATTGATCATCAGGCCGTTGGGATTGTCGGTGGTGCTGACCACCGAACCGGGTGGACTGCAACTGCTGCTGGTGGCCGCCGCCAGTTCGTTGCAATACGAGGTAGATGTGGGCGCCTGGGGATCCCCCTTGATCCCCGATCCGGGATTCGCTCCTCCTCCTCCTCCAGATGAGTTACCATTCGGTGGACCATTCTGCAGGCGGTTCTGCAGCAGCGGCATGTAGCCGTGGCTCAGTAAACTCTGGAGCGTGGAACTACTGGCATGCATGGGCAGCGGACTGTGCGGCAGCATAAAGTCCCCCAGGGAATCCTGCTGCGATACCAGCACCTTGGCCGACTCCTGCTGTATGCAGTTGCCATCGATCCACGCATCCAGATCCATCCAGCTGTCCCGCGTGTCGTTGTTGTCGTCCTTGTCCAGTTGATTGGGCACCGTGGTGTCCGCAATGGCGGAACCAATAATGGCGGCAATGTCATCTATGGAGTTCATGTCCACATACTCCGTCAGGTCCTTGTAGATGCGAACACCCGAGTTGTGCAGGGAGTCGGCCACCTGGTCGATGGGCGTCAGTGTGGCTATGCTGGGACCGGCTCCATTGCCATTCGCTGAGGAGCCGGAAGAGCCATTCATCACACAGCTGTCGGCCACGGAGTAAAGCTTAGAATCTAGTTGACTATCGGCGAAGAGCTTCACGTCCGCCAGGCAGGCATCGTTGCCACCTCCTCCTCCTCCACCTCCCGTGCCCCCCCCTCCGCCACTCCCACTGAGAACACTTTCGGGTAAGCAGGTGGAGGAGGAGACTATGTTGTGCTCATTGGAGTTCGAGTTGCTATTGCTGCCCCCGTTCGATTGCGTGGGATTCGATTGGTTCTGGGCGTGGTAGGCACTCTGCATGTAGTTGTTGTTGCTCTCATCCGGCAGCCTTTGGGCAATGGCATGGTAGTGGTGGCCGGAGATCCCATTGATGGACAGGTGACCCGTGTAGCCGGTGAAGGGCGGTAGGGGTTTCAGGTCGGACAGGGCATTCAGGGACGATCCGTTCAGCAGCAGATTGTCCAGGACATCCAGCGAGTTCTTCTGATCCGCATCGCTGGGCAGCGAATCCAGATCGTGCTCCAGCAGCAGCTTGTGCCCATCGAGCAGGTACTGATCCTGGGCGGAGGTCTGGGGAGGTCCCCAGCAAGGACTCATCAGCAGGCTCTCAACTTCCGATTCACTTGGGCCGTTCATGCTGCAAAACTTCATTGTCAGTGGACCCAGGCGATCGAGGCGAATCTTCCGGCGATCCGTGGGTTAACAGATCCGACGCTATCCAAGGACCAAGTTTCAGCTGGAAAGAGTGCAGATGGGAAATGGGATCATTAAATTTTGTAAGGTATGTGGATTAGTGGATCTATTGATTAAAATTGTTAGAAAAAGCTGGCCAACACGGCATGCAAATCATTACAAAGTGTTACAAATAGCTTTTAAAAACATGTATAATAGTCAGACTTAAATTGGCAATTACAATTTTCTACAATAATAAGAAAGTATTAAAAATCTTTTCATTTAAACACTCTATACTAGTATATATTGTTCCTAGAAGAAACCCAACTATAGTGAATATATTTATCATATATGAACAGGTTCATAAAAACCTAAAAAATTCTCCAAGTCCCATTTAAAATACAACTTCATTCATCAAAATTAAGCTAAATCACCAAGATACACCATCTTTCAAGTTCCTTAAGATCTCTGAGCCAAAGAATAATCTTAGATCACAATTAAGCTTACACTAGCCTTCCGCTGAGATGACCCCACCTCCATATAATTAATATCAGGTTCTTCCCCTCCCCTCCCCTCCGATTCTTCCTGCACTTGCTGACAACCTGACACATCGATCCCGACCCACTGATAGCCCTCACTAATGATTCTTTAATATGAAAATATTAAACCAAACTTCGGCCCGCCCGTTGACCAGAAATATATTTTTCCACGGGGCTTCCCCACTCCCCTTTTTGGCCCAAACGAAAGAGATTAAGTTAAGACATTCGATAAGCCTTAATGTCCGTAAACAAGAAGAAGCAGCGGCATGAGATGCATAGGAAAACGAAGAAGAAACTAAAATCGATACCAGAATCGGCCAATAATAATTTCCAACCGGTATTTGGGTCAAAACATTAATAATCAGTTAAATTAGCATATAAATTGGTGGCAATAGAGTGAGAGGGGTACAACAAGTGGGAAAGAGAGCGCATTTGGCTACGAATGTGTGATCGTATTCGATATTTGTATTTCGATGGTGCACGCTTGATTGGAACCCAAGTGGAAGTTCTTCACCAAAGCCACATCATATAAAAAAGCGACAATGAAAGCCCAACAAAAACACACAGGTGTAGTCCCAAAAACTACGTGAAGAAGAAGCAATGTCTTCCCACACTAAACACTAACAATTATACACACTGAAAAAAATTACAATAATTAGAAAATTCATTTCAAGCTTTTGTAATTTCGAATACATAGTTTGTTAAAGTTTATTTTGAACCCAAAATTTCTAGTTTTTGAATAGTAGTTAAAGTATTTAAGAGACTTTTCACTTTTTTTTATGTAATTCTTATTAATTTCTTAGTAAATTATTTATTTAATCTTTATTGTTTTAATCAATGTCATTCTATATTTAAACATTTTTTTTTGCTTAGTGTATAAGTTCATTTGGTTAACTAGTTGGAACACAAAACGAAATGGAATGAAATGAAATGAAAGAAACGGTAAAGCAACACCCCCTCTTTCTTTTTCCCTCTGTCTCTCTCTTTCTCTGCCTTTTGTGCATAAACAGTTAACTTGATTTCGAGGCTTGGCCAGCAAGAAGAAGACGAAGGCGAAGAAGGGGCAGAAATCAAAGCTAGACACTGTCCAGCTGCAAAGAGAAAATTTCGCTTTCAACAGGTTGTCTGTCGTTGGCAACATTTATAGCCCCATATTGCCGGATTTCCAGCAACATGTTGCCAGTTCAGCTAGCATGCGGAAAGAAGAAGAAGAAGCGGCTCTGTCGTCGACGTTGGCGTCAGCGTCAAGCCAGTTAAGCAGAAGCAGCTAAGCGTGGCGGCAGAGGATCGGCAGAGCAGCGACTGAGGCTGTGGCAGAAAACTACCGTTAACCAAGAGACGTCGAGAGACCTGCTGACATACTTCCGCGATCGGCTAAAACCCGAAGCCTCCAATCGCACGAAGCCCGGCTTTTGTGTGTCTCTCTCTCTCTCTTTGGATCTCCCTCTCTCGCTCTGCCATTGTAATTGTGGAGTTTTTGGATGCTCATGCTCATTCTCATTACCAACTTTTTTGTTGGCACAGTTTCGGGGGATTTTTGTAGTTGTTTCAGGGTCGCCTTTGATTTTGTGAATTTCAGATTGCAAACCAGTACACCAAGGGAAAACAAAAATGACGACTTTATACCTAAACCTGAAATTTAAATGAGTTATTATAGTGATTAAAATCGAGATCTAGATTATTTCCTTAAAAATGTATTTTTTCAGTTTCTGGACTTCTAATACTTCTCCAACTTTAAAATTACGCTATAATTCCCAGAGGGTTCTAGCTGCGCAGTGGTGGAAGTCCCTTCGAACGAATAATAAGTTTGCGATAATAACGCTGATGATTAGGGCTATCTGAAGAGAAACTGATATCAATCGATATAAAAAGAACAATATTTAATTATGCATTTAAATTAAAATAAAAATATTATCCCTGCAAATAATTTATTCCTGAGTGTACTTTGGGGGCGCCATAAGCGTGAGTGACCATTCGATGCTGCCTTTACAGAACACTTTGGGAATTGAAATTGGCGTGAAATATTTTATGGCAAACAAAAACGCCACTCATTCTCATTCCAATTCCGATTCAGTTGCCGTATTCTGTATCTGAATCTGAGTCTCCTATTGTTATTGTTTGACTGCGCGTCAGATTTTACACATTTTTGTTTGGCTGGCGTTTTATTGTTGCTGCTACATGAGCATTTTGCTTTTAATGAGCCACATTGTAACGGTGGTCCGGTGCTCCGTTTGCATTTGAATGCCCACCGTCCCACACACACTTACACACCGATACTTAAAAGCACACCTGAACTCACACTATCACACGATTTGCGGGGGCGCGCCGCACAATGGGCCTCTATTGTAGTTTAAGCTTGTAAATGGTCAGAAGAGCCCACAATGGACAATGTCAGCCGACAGAGATCGGCTGTGGGGGCATTATAATTACAGCTATGTCAGTCAACCGGGCTGAAAACCTTTAACGGTTATTCCGAACGAATTAGTGCGAATTTTTGACAGGCGAGTGATTTTATGACCTCTCTGTTGGTTTTTTTTGGGTTTAATGTGTTGATAATGTGGGGGTTAGATTTTGGGTTATAGTTCAATTATTAGTGGGAACTAATTCAAAGATTGTACCTAAATAATTTAATTAAAAGTTCAGAAACACTTATTAAACAATTATTCAATAAACCTTGTTAAGAATCCACTTCAACATTAATTGTTTAATTGGGGCCTTACATCTTTTCTTCTAATGCCAATACAGTTATTAATTTATTACCAGCATGCACTAAATACTTTTTAATCTTTTGCTAAACAAATGATTCAAGACACGAACTTCATATAATCTGGGTTGCTTACAAATTGAGCAGCACAATATAAAGAAAAGCTTTTTTCAAATGAAGAAAGCCCGTTTCCTTATACAGAACCAATTATGAAGCTATCTTCCATTAGCTTAACGATCTCTTAATCCAATATGTCATGGTGATTCCACAGATAACCCTGCTTAATCCCTTCACAATCTGTCGAGAATTTTACTGGACAATTGATCGACCAACTATCTCAGGTCGAAGACAAAAAAATAACTTACTTAACCATCTAACAGGCAACTAAATGTCTGACCCGAGCAATTGACCAGCGAAATGAACTCTAAACCGCATCAACAACACGAAACGAAACAACAGCTGCTGATCAGATGGAAATTGAGTTCTTAACGTTTCCTAGAAAACTCGAACGGAAATTGGTCTTAACCTTTGGCGGCAATCAACTTCCGTTTAAATGTTCGAACACGATGCGGCGGCAAAGGTCAAAACGTTTTGGCCAAAGTCAAGCTGCAAACACTTTCCACCCGCCTCCTCACGGACCCGAAAATGAAAAGAAAAATCAGGTCGGCATTGGTGTTTTCCGCGGGGATGCTGTGGAGGGCGGATCGCTGGAAAAAGCGAATGAAAAATTATTTGATTGCAAAATTTACAACCGCAAGAAGACAACAAAAAAAACAAAAACCGCACGTACCAGCTTCCATTGTAGAAAAAAAAACTTTGACCAAGACCGAGAAGCCGAAAAAAAGCCTCGGAAACGTGTGGCTTGCATTGAGGTCACCATCAGTCATTGAAGGTTTGCGATGCTGTGAGGTTGCACCGCACCGCCCACCCCCTGTCCCATCTATCTTGGCCCACTCGGATGTGGATGCAACAAATTGTTGGCAGTGAAAAACGAACGAGTCGAGAAACGAAAGACTTCGGTTGGCTAGTCCGCAGTTTCTATACTCTTGGGTGCTTTTCTTCAAGCCGAATATAAGCCGATTTAAAAGCTATTGAGAGTGCCTGTCTGGGTTATCAAAGAAACTGGGGTTTTATTCTGGGATTTGTTTCTATATTCCTTATAACTGACCGACTTTGAAATGTTAGAAAAATGTCTAATATTTCTTTTAGTTTTCTTATATTTAGACTTTTTAAATCATTAGTTACACAAATAAATATATTATAAACAAGTTTTACCTACAAGAGTGAATGATAAAAATAATATTGAAAGCAAAAAAGTTAAAGAACGCTGAATTATCAATGTTTAAACTCAAATTAAAGTACAGATAAATTAAAAATTTATCTCCGCTAGGGTATTCAGATACTGAGAACTCGGCGGACTGGGAAACTGGAAACTGAAAACTGGGAAACTGACTGCTAAGGCAGCGGTGGGAAACGTGCTTGGCTCATAGTTCTTGATTCTGTGCTCTTGGTTCCAGTTCTTCATCTCCTTGGCAGTTGCGCACTTGACCGCACATGTGGCACGTGTGCTGGATGGTGGATGGAGGATAGTGGACGGCGGAGCTGTGTGAATTGTGGCAGGCCCCTCCTGGATTGGACCCCTCCGGAATGACTAACTAACCCAAAGACAGACGGGGAGCCAAGCCCATCTGCAGACTGGTCAACAAATAGGCGCAGCCTTCGCTACACACGCTATCAAAATCTTGTTTTCTCAAGTGGGAACGGAAAGAAATGTTGAAGCTTTTTTTAAGTATCTGGCTTTAGCGTTCTTGTAATAAAAATGTATTTTATATTGTAAAATATAAAACTAATTTCCCATGTTAGTTTAAGTTTTAATTATAAAATTCCTAGTAAATTATTTAATATACATTTTTCTTTATAATTAGTTTGCTAAGTGTAAATTTCAAAAACATGGTCAAGTAATCTTTGGCAGATAGGTGGGCGTGGAGTTGCCTGCTGTAAATCAAATCAGTTGGCTATAGTCATCAATCTGATGCACATGAATTATGTTGTTCGAGGTGTAAATTAGGTTTTAAATTAACTAGTCTATCTATGATGATGAAAATGAGGAATAGTTGGTGTGGTTTTGCCCCACATAACTTTCAGAACCAGTTTATCTTTTCTATATTAATTTTCAATACTGACAAACTTAGTTTTTTTAAACTGGTTTTTTACTTTACCTTTTTCTTCAGTCAGAATTCAAAATATAAATTTAAATAATTTGCGATAAAATTAAAGAACTAAACAGGTTATTCTTTTCCTAACTTCTTTACCCTCACTCTATATATGCATGTATCTTGGTCTCCCCACATCTGTTTAATCATTTTTTAAACTCTTGATGTTTTGGGCAGCTCGGTTTTATCGTCTGCTGTTTGTTTAGGCCATGAATGAACTTCTGGCAGAGCAATTTGCTCTGGTCGGCACTTGACTCGCCTCGACATAACTCCGGTTCCCCGAACCCCGATCCCCGGTCTCTGGTCGTCGGGAACTACAACCGCCGTTAGCTTCCACGGCCTCCACTCCCTTTTTGTGGCCAACATGTGTCCAACAAGCCAGATGACAAGTTGGCGATAAGGCCGGTCTGAGAGCCCCGCAGGAAGGCTTGGCGATACTTTTATGACCGAGGCTGTATACGAGAGAAAAAAAAAACAGAGATGTACTGGACGGACCCTCCACACAGCGTATTCACTCCCTGGAGGCCCAGCAACAACTATGCAAATTTTTGTGTATTTTTTTATGATGCTTAACTATTTTTAGTCGCTTTTTTTCCAGCTAGTTTTTTGTTGTTATTTAAATGCTGTCCAGCGTGTGGTTGTGTGCGTGTCGAGACTCTATTATTATTATTTTTTCGTGGGTTTGTTGTGGTCATCGGAGAGCAGCAAAAAGGCAACCATAACAACAACCACAATGACAACATGTCTGGCAAGTCCCAAAAAGCATTGCCCAGGTCAGCGAACTTTTTTCTCTCCGCTGCCTTTGTGAATAATATTTGCGTAGTTTATCCCATTTGTAGTTGTATTCCTTTTGTTGTGCAGCTAAATGTGCAAATTAAACATAAAAGTTTTGGACGAGGGAGACTCCTTAGCAGTTAGCGGGTTAAAAATATTTCTGAATTCATACATATATATTTGCCAAATTATTTGATCATCTTCGGTTCTTAGGTAATGATCAGCTAATGACTGAAGTTGATTGGGCAGTTTAAGCCTCGAAACCTTTGCCGACTCAAGGGGACTTTTCTGGGTTTTTTTTAACATTTGATTAATCTATTACAAATGTTTCTAATTTGCTTAGTAATATCTAGATTTAATGTCAACCAAAAATGTAAAATTTAAATAGAGTTTGCAAGTGGATTTAATGAAATATTCTTTATCTTTATTATCTTCAGATGACGATATGTAGTTAATACATTTATTGATTAGTTTTAATGATACATTAAAGTTCAATTCAACCTAACATATAACAATCAAAACAATGATCAAGCTAAGCTCAAATAAAACTTTAGTTCCAGCTGAAAATTCCCATTTCCCGAATTAGTGCATCAAATTAATTCAATGCCGTAATTATCTGAAAGCTCATGGTTAAACCAAGCTCAAGAACATAATTTTATTTCATCTCTTGTAATTGATATGTTATGCTCGCCTCCTCATTTTCGGTCTTCACGGGAAGAAACCTCCTTAGTTCGCCCAGCACACCTCTTAATTAAAGATCGAATCGGAGTCGATTGGGAGCTCAATTTTGAAATTCAATTAAAAACGAAAGAAGAAAATCAGAAATTGTGAGAGAAAGATATGGAAACAGCAACGAAAATCTTTAACCCAAAATGCAACTTAATGCTCAGCGAATTGGTTACGCTCATTGACGCTGCCAGACAGCTGAAAGAGTTGGTGTTGCTCTTGATGTTGCTGTTGGGCCTATTTCAAACATACACTAAAAAAAAATGTAGGTACAATCTCTGAAGTGTTACAGTTAAAATTTAAAGGAAATAATTAACTCCCTAAGTAACTTATAAGGTATTACAGAAGCAATGTATAAAAATAAATTGTAAATTATTAAATCTTGATACAAAATTCCGATTATTATATAAAAAGTAATAGGTTCATGAACAATAAAACTGATATATTAAAAATATGATTTGTTTATACAAAACAGTATTAAATTATTAATTGAATTGATCAAAAATAAACAAAAGCTTTAATATTGTTATACTAATTGGATTTTTTCCACAATATTTTTCGAAGTGTAGCTCTATCTCTCCCGCATTGCTTTGTTTTTGGGGAACTGCCGCTCGCTGAATGAGTAAGCGTAATTTTGCGTCATCTAACGGTAGAAACAGCCGCTGCTGTTGTTGTTGCCTTTGTTGGTGAAGTTTTAAAATTTTTTTTTGGCTGCTATTGCCATTCCGTTCTTACCAGCCGATTGTTGTTGTATTTTAGACCATTTTTGTCAGACAAACAAACGGTTTTATGATTTATTATTAGCCCATCCAACGGCTTGGCAACAGTAGCAACCCTCCCCCCACCGCCTCTTAACTTCTCCTTCCCTTTTACCAAAAATATAAAAAACATTTTAGTGCTAGCTGTAAAAAGAAGAGAGGAGAATCACAAGTTTTTACTTCCGACTGCAGTGGGGAAGTTCGTTTTGGGGTCGCCTAAAGAGGCTTAATTGTCTTGGAATCATTATTTTTTACAGCTTGTTGATTTTCGGCTGCACATTGCGCATACGTCATGTGGGAAGAGCCAGTTAAAATGCGAGAAGAGTGATTAATCCGATCAACTAAATAAGTTGGTTTGAGGAATCTTGGAGAAGGAGTATACAATTTAAAACATTTTTTGTTAACGGATCGTGCATTTATAAAATCTTCAGCAACGTTATTTTGAATATCAGGTTTTGCTTAACTATATTCGGTTAGCCTTATGAAGTATTGTGCTATCAAAACAGCGCTTTTGTAAATGTATTTATATTTTATTTATCACTTAAAACAGGTATATAAATACTTTTTGTAATCACCACTACATCATTGAAATCTCTGGAGTTTTCTGGATTTCTCTAAATAAATATTTAAGATAAAATCAATACCCAGACACAATAAAAGTGCCATGTATAAAATTATATTTGCATCGATGTTCTTAAACCTTGAGGCCAAATTTTACACAATGAGATCATAGTTTGGTTATTGTTAAGGTGATTATTAAAACTCTATAAAATAACTTTGATTGTTAAGTAAATAAATTGTATAATTTTACGCATTAACAAGAACATTAAATAGAATAGTGTCAGTTCCGTAGTCTGTAATTTGGTCTGCTAGAGAACACAATAGATATACTGCTAGTTAGACTAATGAGAACATATTTTTGCAATAGTTTCTTCACCTCGCCCAGTGAACTTAGCACCGAATTCCGTTCCCAGTTCTAATTAGCATTGTATCCATCTCGGGATGCCTTGTCACTGCCCATTAGTGGCATGTGAATTTCACAATTGTCATAAGTAGAGCCCTCCAGGCGGTCCCCCTTACCCCATCCCCCCTCCTTGATCCACCTGCCTGTCTATAGGCCGTCTATTTGTATTTCATAACAGGTGAGTAATATACGAACATATCGGAAACGATTTCGGTCAATGACTTTTGCCTGATTTGTTTATAAGCCAGAATTGAGAATGTTCTTCTTATTCGCGGGGCCGTTGACTTGAGGAATTTTGGTTTGTTTGATTTTGCTACGGCTTGGTTTTTGGGGAAGAAGATTCATTCATTACTTACTGTTACGAAATTGCAGCTTCAGCTAATTGACATTTTGAAAACAATTTTCAAAATATTTTCAACGCCTTTTGGAAGTTTTTTTTCGGTGTTTTCTGTTTGTGTTATTGTAAGCGATAATCCGTGCTCAGTTTATATTTAATCCTTGGGGTTGTAATTTAAAAATCCTTTAATAGGTTTTCGATTATAATTATTGATGATATTCTTGTTTGATTTCCAAACATTTAAAGCAGAGGATTTCAAATAGATGATAGTTCAAACACCAGGGAAGATCAAGATAAAAACCATCACCGAATGTAAAAATTTGGAAGATAAAAATAAAATAATAATATTTTTGTATACTCACAAAAACAATGGGAGGAAGACATAAAACTATGCATAAAAAAATGAACAGGTAGTAGTTCGAGTAGATTGTTTATTAAATGTGGGATATAGATATAAATTGCAACCCTTTAATCTGGGACGATAGTTCCGTAGTGGATAGTGGTTTAATTTAGATTGCTTTCCAATATTCTTGGATTTTATTTGTTTTTTTTTGCAGTATGTACAATGGGTCAACGCAGCTGATTTCCTGGTTTAAATATTTACAACAGCGTTTTTTGGGAGTATTTAGCATGTGTAATAATATTTATTTATTTTTGATATTTTGTTTTGTATTTGTTTTGAATTTTAACTTTTTGTTAAGCGTATTTCCTTTGTATTGCACTGTTTTTCTTCACTTTTAGCACTTTGTTGGGAATTTTAATAATTGGATTTGGAATGTATTTGACAATTTCTTTAACTTTTTGTCAACCATTTTCACAATTTTTTAGCCGCATTTTAAACATAGTAAAATTTTGCGTTTTTGTTCACTTCTTTTTTTCTTTCTTTCTTTTGAATTTTTGCTGTGGGCTTGTTCTAATTTCTGTTGCTTGCTCTTTCGATTATTGCCACTTCACATGTTCGCCACTGTATCTGTGTTTTTATTTTATTTTGTGTGTGTGTGCGAAGAGGAGGAATAAGTCCACGTCCACAATCAAATCGAACCGAACCGCGAATCGAAAAAACGCAGAAACGTGCGCACAAATCCGCAGACGTCAACGATAGAAAGCCAACTGTGCGCAGGCGCAACACGAAAAGAAATTTCCGAGCCAAGAAGTTCAACGGCGACGTCGACGTCGGCGCCGGCAGCGATCCGAGCAGCGCAGATACAAAGATACAAATCACGTTCGAAACCCAACTCCGGAGAGCGCTCAGTATCCCGCAACATGTTCGAGGCGATCGAGCCAACATGTTGCAGCAGGTGGTCGAGGTCAGTTCGAGTCAGTTCAAAGTCAGGGCTAAGTTTGTTTATGTTGCTGAAAAGTCGACAAAGGTGGTCTGATGGTGTTTGTATTAAAGTACAATGTATCAAAGTCAGGGCTAAGTTTTTTTTATTTTGTTTTGTTTCTGAAAATGTCGACAAATTACTTAATATAATATAAAATTGTTTATTAAATATGGTTTATTTAAAAATGTTTATATTTATTTTCAGTTCTAGCATGATGATCATACCTGTTTGAAGTTGTTCTCCCTCTTTTCTTGGCTATTACCTGCTCTCTCTCTCACGCGCGGTCGCATACAACTTGACCTACTTAACAAAAATTTAAACATTTTTTCCTGTTATTCCGCCTTGTAAACATGTTGCCAGCAATTTACAGTTTGCCGGGGCCCACAGTTCCGCCAGCAACATGTTGCCGTGTTGCTTGTGCTGAAAATATATATATGGTATGTAGTTGTTGCATTTCCTCTTTGGCACTTGCTATTGTTGTTGTTTTGGTCGATTGTTGTTATTGCTGACACTACCGCCGCTGCTAATATTGTTGTTGTTCATTTGCAGGCGCTGTGCAGTTAACGGTATCGCTTCGAAAATGAAAGCTCCGAGCAGCGCTCACAGGTTGCCGTGTTTTGTGTGAATTTTTGTGTTTTTGCTCACGACTTTTTTGCCACAACAGTAGTTGTTGTGATTTTTTTGTTGATTCGCTTCCCTGTCAATGGGTATTGTCATAATTCAATAGAGCTTACAAATCCCTTTAGAGATCGGGCGGTGTATTTTGGAATTGGCTAGTTAAAAATGTGAATATATATCGATTTAAGAGAAATTAAATGTTGGGGTTGAAGTATATCACTCCATATTACTGTATATATATTATATTGAGATCCTTTAAAATATAAGTCTATTATTTACCTAATATTTAAGATATTGAAATCAAAATATATTTAATTTTTTTATCATAAGTCTGTACGTACACCACTGAAAGTTGGGAAGGGTATTAAAAACTTCGGTCTTCAGCCACGGCAATCCCATACTGAAGTTGGTATCAGGGTTGGCTGGCACAGGCATTAGCATAAACAAGAGCCGCCTCATCACCGTGTTGACCAAATGCAACTGCGTCACTTCGGAGATGGTCTTGTGGGTACTTTCCCCGTCGCCTCCGCCGTATCCGTCTGAATTGTTGGTCATGTTTATGCCTCATGATTTGTTTTTCATCTGCCGCCGCATCTGCTTCCCCCTTTTGGACCACAGTCACACTCTGTATTTGTGGTGTCTGATTTTTTTTTCACTGGAATTAACTTGCGTTTTTTATTTCGCAAAAGTATTTTATATGCATGTTGGGCACTTTTTTCATATCAAATATTTTGTTTTTCGTTGCGTGCGTGACTCATGCCAGTTAATAAAATTTTATCTTGGGATTGTCATGAACTTTGCCACCTACTTCGAAGGGAAGCTTTCAATGCCAAGTTTGTTGCCTAAGTCTTTTGTTTGGCTCCATGGCAGGCGGTTTGATGATTAACAATGGCTAGAAAAAGAATGGTAATAAATACGATGGTTTCTTTAAATATTTATTTGGGAAGATTATGTGTAATTAAACTTCATTGCAAGATTATAAAATAGCATATAAAAATGCTTTTATAGGAGCTTCTCCATATTCATTTGAAAAGCTTAAACCGTTGATATAAAAAGATAGTCTTCAAGATAGTCTTATAACAACAATTTGTATGCTATTCAAATATAATTCTAAAATTTCCAACTGTCGTAATTCAATTACTTATTCTGACAAATGCTGGATCGAAACAATTGTTATAACAATCAAATGATTGACACAGAACAAAACGAAATTCAATAATTGCTCGGTCCAGAACCAAATTAAATTCAATTAATGTTGTTGCCCTGCCATATTCAATCCGTAATAAAGCCAGCCATGGCCTCCTTCCGAAACTCCCGCCAAGTTCCGAGCTCCAAGATCAATAACTTTTACGGCCAAAGCCGAGACAAGGGGTATACACTGGGGCAAAAGGGAAAAATACAGTTAGACAAATTCTATGCACGTCAAATGTCAATCTCGAGACACACAGCCGCAACTTTGGAGGGAATCAATCTTGGCATTAAAGAAGTTCGGCAAAAGTTGTGAAGAGCGCTTACAAAACTAATTGAACTTGGACAGCGTGACACTTCACCCAAAAAAAAAATGAAAAAAAAATAGAGGACCTAACCGAACAATATAGGAAAGTGCCTCTGGAGTCGGGCCATCAGTCAAAGCATTTTGTTCCAAGCAAATAAAGGCAAGCAATCAAATTCAGGCAAACGCCAAAAGAGTTGGAAAAAGATGAAGTGGTGGTTCGAGGGGGGAGAGGTCAATGGGGCAACGGTAAAAAAGTAAAAGAAAATAAAAACTCAACCGCACATTGTGTAAACATTGACACGGGGGTCAAGCCCTCAGAACAAGATTTGTGCATTTGTCAGGGGCCACATTTGGGTTAGGCAAACTCAACCGAAATTGAATGCGCCCGAAACAAAATGAAGATCTTCCGGAGATCTTCACGCAACGGGTGGCTTGCCCCGCCTGACCGCAAAATATCTGTAAATTAAGGTGCAAATAACAAATTGCGCAGAAGTCAAAACAATTTGCAACGCCTCCGAGGTGCACCTTTCTATTTGCCCAAAACAAGGCAAAATACGAAGTGCAAATGTGACAGAAACAGGGGACAGAAACTCGGGCAAACAAGTGCTCGCAGGGTGGTCATCGTGGGAGAGGTAGCATCCTATGGACAGGTAGGATTTATGTACCATCAAGTGTCGAAAATTGAATTCTTGGTTGTTTGAATACTCTAATACTGTCTAGATAAACACTAATTGGTTTCACTTTTCGTTGAGTTCGTTTCCCAAGTCTTTTATTTTAATAGGCGTAAACCCTCGAATTTTAAGATGAGTTTGTGTTCCAAGTCTTTTGTTTCCATAGGCAACAGTTAGCAGTTATAAAATTCAGTTTTTATTTACTATACCGTATTTATACCATATCATATACATATTAACAGCTAACAACCTTGTAGATTTTGAGTTTGTGTCTTAAGTCATTCTATTTATGGAATGGAATTTTTAATTTTGTTTTCTCCAAGCAAACCATAATACATTTATACTACTTTCATATCTTTAATCAAGAATGTTTTTTATTTAAATTTGCATTCCCATTTTTATTTACCATCTTTGATCTAGCTTCGATGTTATCCCATCCATTCCCATTTTTAGATCTTTCACATCCTTCTCTTACCATACCCATTTCCCAATCTGGTGTATCTTTTTGCCTAACCAAAACTTCGAATTGATGTCAAACGTTGCATAAATTTCGCATCATATCTAACAGCTACAACAGCAGCAACAACAAGAACAAACATCAATAATAATAATGCAAATTTGGCATGCATAATTTTGTACTCTTCAGCTTCTTCTACCACTTTTTTTTTTTTTTTGTAAGCCAAGGTGCGGGCGTCAGTTAGCCCAGAAAGAGGAAGACAAAGAGTTGGGGATAGAACACCTCCGAGTCGAGATCTGCGATGGAGAGGCGCTGTCGATGCGAAGGCTTATCAACGTTAATAACACGCAAAAGACAACCAAACACAGCCAAACAATAAAACAAAAGGAGAGCAAGAACGAGAACAACAAAACGAGGCGGCAATAAAAATGCTAAATAAATGGTCGCATGTGTGTGACAGGGGAAGCGGAGAAATGGATCTAGGAGAAATATGAATGTAGTGAAAAGTGTGGGAGGCCTTTCGGGTGGGCGACCATATCCACACAAAAAATAGAACAACACAAAGACATTAGAATATATATTTGTTTAGCATAATGCTAAAGTACAACAAATGTTAAATATTTAAATTAAAAAAATTTTTTTGAACAAAGTGTTTTTGAAAATATTCCCAACTAAAAATGACAAAAAAAAGTAAGTCACGTAAACTAATACGGCTTAAAAAAACAAAGACAAAAGGTCTAAACATATCTTTGGAACATCAAGATTTTATTGATGTTTAAAACCCTTTTCTAAATTTGTTTGCTTTCGGTTTTTCTTGGTTCTTTTAAATGCTGAAAATTAATTCAAACATTGTTTATTCCTGTGAAAATTAAAGCATGTTAAAAAGCGAGGATTTTTCTCAGTGTTCTTGTTTTTGGGTGTGTGGGTGGCTGCGAGGCTAGGCAAAGGTCAAGACGAAACGCAATTGGCAGCGCGGCAGCCAGAGGCACAGAAACGGGCAACTCCGACTGGCAGCTTGGCAACCGGAAGTGGGTCAACGAAAACCGGATCCGCATCGTCAAATGCAAACGCAGCTGTGTGTGGAAAGAGATAAACAACAAATGGCAAACAGCAACAGCAATAGCAACAACCACAACCGAACAAACAACAGAAAACAAACATCAGACAATGCAAAAACGCAATTGAGATGCAAATGCAAATTGCATTTGCCACATGTTGCAGTTGCCGAGTGCTGTTGTGTGTGCCAGCAACATAAATAAACATGAAAATAATGCACACCATTAACATTGCCAATGGCCCCCAAAAAGCAAAGGGGGCGGGAATGGCGGCGATGTTGGCCAGATAGACGGGCGGCCAAAAGGCCATGTGTCTGCGTGCCGAGTGGAGTGTCATGGGCATGGCTTTGGCTGACTTTGCTCTTGACAAACTCCCTGCTGCATCTAATGAAGTTCCATTCGACGGACTGGTGATATGGCGGGGAGGGGGGCGGGATCGGGAGACGGAGGCAAAATATGGGCAGACAATTGGCTGCAAGAGCCTAGACATTTTCATCTATTTTA